AAAAGAGAGAGACAAGACAAGGGACATGGAAAAATTCCAAAGGGGGCGGGGGGAACATAGGCAAGAAATTAAAAAATAGAAACAGCCCGATAGAGGTAGACGTAGAAAGAAAATTCTCAAAAAGCAACGGGGTGCAAGAAACATAGGCAAGAACTAACAAACAAATAGGGACAGGGAGCTAGAAAAAGGGAGACAGCGAAAGAAAGTGTAAAAAGTGACAGGGCAGAGGACAGAGAGGGAAGAATTAAGAGTTAGACACAGAGATGGATAGAGGGAGACATAGAAAGAAAATTTTCTAAGTGACAGGATACAAGAATCATACACGAGAATTAAAAAATAAGTACATGGAGCTGCATAGAGGGAGACGTAGGAAGAAAATTTGAAAAGCAACAGGGTACAAGAAACACTGGCAAAAAGTGAGAGAGGGAAAGGTAGCAAGAAAATTTAAAAAGCAACTGAGTTTGAGAAATATATGCAAGATTTAAAAAAATAGGGATGGAGAAGTAGAAAGTAAGTTTCAAAAGCAATGAGGTACAAGAAACATAGGCAAGAATTTAAAAATAGGGACAGGGAGCCTATAGGGCTCCTTCCCAAATCGTCCCCAAGGCCCCCCCAAACCACCCCCATCCCCCTACCTGGCTGCCGAAGCACAGGGAGCTGAGGGACTCGCTGAAGTCCCGCTCCAGGGGAGAGATGTTCACGAACATCGCCCTTGGGGGACCCACACACATGGGGGTGCCAGTGGGGTCCCCCAAAACCCCCCAGCCCCTCACTCACACCTTGGCAGAGCCAGGCAGCTGGAGGCTGGGGCAAATACTGCCCTAGCCTCGCAACACAGGGCTGGCTGGGTGGAGAGAAGCACGACGATGCCAGCAGCGGTTTGGGGACGCTGTAACAGCTGGTATTATGGACAGGGCAAATACTGCATCAGCTCAGAGTACGGCAGGTAGCAGAGCCCTCGGCAGCATCCAAAAGAACAGCAGAGGCTGAAGGATAGCTTTATACGTACGAGCCCAGGATCGTACATCAAGCAACTAGTTGCGCTATCAACTTAAAGCTGGCAGCTGCTGGTAGACAACAACCAAGGGTACAAAGTGAGGAATTTTATCCCTGCCTTGTCCTCCTAGCACATCAAGGAGTGCGAGTGCAGTGAGCTGGCAAAGTGGAGCACACGCAACACCGAGCAGAGGACTGAGATTTGAAATTGGGATATTTTTGGCCTTTTTTCTTACCAACTGAAATAAGTATGTTCTGACCAAGCCTTACGGAATAGGTCCACGTAAACCTAACAGCAGCACAATCTGCGTTTATTCCTCACCATGCCAAAAAGCCTTGACTGAGCCACAGTGAAAGTAGCATAATTGAGCACGTTGGTGTGCTCAATTATTATTATATTTACCTCAGCTGCAGCCCCGAGGCAACCCTGCATGAAGACCTGGAATAGAACCTATTATGAACATCACTGTCTGCAACCTGTTCGTTACTCCCTGCCATTCAAGAACCACAGAAACAGTCAGGTTCCACCCCAAATCTACAGACTTGAGCATTCTGCCTCGCTCAAGTCCTTTAGATATTCTGCTTTCAATACAGATGATTCCTCTTTAACCCTAGGTAATATCTTTGACACTACAAGTCTGGAACTATTTTTCATTTATTTGGTATCCAACTCCTCAGCAAATCAGCGTAACATAGTCTGATGCTGCCCATTGCAAAGAAACTACCCAGCTCAGATCTAGACTGTTAATCCTGAAAGCACTTACAACTCTTCGCCACGGTAAGCCCATTTATTTACTCTCAATAATATTGTCAAAGAAATGTACAGGAGCAGAGCAGAAGTAGGTAACTTCCAGACAAACAGGGAAAATTTATATGAAAATTTTGTGTCGCGTATAATTGATGATTACCATTGGCCCTGTGCTTATTACTTCTGTGCCTTTTTTTTTTAACATTAGTCTAAATCTCATTGTGAGCCTTTTTAATGTCTTTTTCTGTTGTGCATTATTTTAAACTGAATGTAGGTACTAAAATAACTGTTTAGAATGCATCATCGTATTTTTATAATTTAAAATTATTTTCGCTCATCGGCAAGTACTTTTAGTTTCTATTCTTAGCTGTATTACAAAACCGAGCATCCGTAACACATTTTTTTCACTGTTCTGAGACCAACTTTGGGGACATTTGTAGTAACATGAAAAATCTGTATAGAATTTAGACACGCTGTCATCTGTCAGGGTTCAATGGCTAGAAGAGACCATGCGATCATCTAGTCCGACCTCTTGCATCCCATTTCACCTCAGCATTTCTCCACGCGTTCTCTGCATCTTCATGTCATTTTTAATATCTGTGTGAACTGCTAACATTTTTAAACAATTTGTATTGATGCGGAATGAGAAATTGTGCTACTACGGGTCATTACGTCTTTAGGAAACATAAGAACCCTTTCACATGTTCGACTTTAAATAAGAGAAAGAGCGAGTGGCGTGGTGCATACCTGGCACCCCCTCCTTACTGACTCACCTCCTCGGCTTTCATGGCCCAAGCATCAAGAGAGAATTTGTCACTTCACCTGAAAAGTCAGAGAGATGAGATGAAAGCACCGCAATGGGGATAACCCTACTGCTGTAATTAGGGACTCGCTGTAATTAGGGACTCATCTATCGCTTCGACTGGAAACAAAGCCCTTTTGGTTTTCACTCAGGACTTCCTGAGCAGGTGAAGACAGTCTACACCCCCTCCACTCCTCTGCCGCAAAAGCCATTTCGGCAGAGCCAATGGCAAAAGCCATTTCGTTAATTATTTGCCTCGGTTACGGTTTTTTATCATCGTATCGGAACGCTGCGAAGCGGGTCAGAGGGAACAGCAAGGCAGGTGGCGGAGAAACCACCCGCTTGGTTTTCTGCAAGGATTATTTCTCTGGGGTACCCCACAGGCACAAACGAACACAAACGAACGCTCGCTTTGATTAACCAGGAAGCGAGACCTAGATGGCGCGACCGGCCCCGCCTAACGGTGCCCGGCTGCCCCGCTTCGGAAGTCTGTCGGTCACCAGTGCTCCCAGTATGGGGTCACCCGTGCCCCCGGTGCTCCCAGTATGGGGTCACCGGTGCTCCCAGTGCAGGCCAGCTCCGCCGCCTCCCCGGACGAGCGGACTTCCCGTCACGCCCCGCCCCCCGCCGCCGCGGTGCGCCCTGGGAGCTGTAGTCCCGCCCCCGGCGCTCTACGCCACGCCCCCGGGGCGGCCTCCCTTTCCCGTCGTGCCCC